GGGGATCACTGTGGGGGGTAAGGGTGCACCCCATTCTGCAGGGCAGGAGGCAGTGGCAGTGAGCAGTCGAGGAAGGCACCACAGCTGTCCCAGGCCCTGAAGGCAGAAGTGTCGGGAGGGAGTGCTAGCCCTCCCATGGGGCTGCCTCCTGTGCTCCAGGGCAAGGGTCTCATAATGACAGCCCAGTCAGAGCAGTGATGAATGTCTATGGACTGATGTCCTGCCGGCTCAGGAGAAGGTGCCACTTAGGTCCCCACAGCAATTAGCTCCTGCATCTCAGGGCCAGTCTTACCAAAGGCCAGCGTGGGTTTCCCTGGGTTCTAGTCCAGGCCTGGGGCGAATGAGTCTGGGGAAAAGAGATGCCCAAGACCTGATGTGGGGGCTCTGTGCAGGAAAAAACAGGAGGCAGGGCCCTGCCAGAAGCCCACCCTGCCCAGCCCTCCTGTCCACTTTGCCAGGGGAGTGGCTGGCAGGGCACTGAGCTGCCTTCCCTGCAGAGGCCCCCAGCACAGGACAAGTGGGAGCGACCTCGCTCAGAATTTGTCCTTGGGAAGAAGCTGGGTGAAGGCTACTTCGGGCAAGTGTGGGAAGGCCTGTGGCAGGGCTCTGTGCCCGTGGCAGTCAAGACCATTAAGTCAGGTGAGGCCCTCCGTCTGAAGCCAGCCTGGGGCGGCAGTGGGGGGTGGCATGGGTGGTCCTGGTGCAGTGTCCTCTCCTGCAGCCAACATGAAGATGGCTGACCTGGCCAAGGAGATCGAGGTGCTGAAGACCCTGAGGCACGAGCGGCTCATCCGGCTGTATGCGGTGTGCTCGGATGGAGAGCCTGTGTACATTGTCACGGAGCTCATGTGCAAGGGCAGTCTGCAGTCCTATCTGGGCAGTGAGTACTGCCCTCCAGGCTGGCCATATCCTTCTGGTTGAGTGTGGATGATGCCCTCCCCTCTGCATGGAGGCTGTCCCTGGGGCCCTTGGTGGCAGGCCATTGGTGGTGGGCCAGGCCTCTTTATTGAACATGTGTGGCCCAGGCTGCAGACACCAGTTCCTGTTGGGTCTCTGGCCAGCAGGGAGTTGGGAGCCAGGATCTGGGCTGGGGCTGGGCTTTGCTGAGGGACAATCAGAGACGTGTTTCTGAGGCTGGGCCTGGAGTCTGCCGGGAGCAGGGTCCCGTATGTGTTACCAGCTCTGTATAAGGCCTATGGACCCAGCCCAGCCCCTGGGCACCCCATCCTCCTCTCTGAGTCTCCTCTACCCTGGGGTCTCAGGGTTTTGACTCAGTGGCCAAGAAACAGCTTGCATTGAGCAGTCACATGGAGGCACAGGACCTGCTCTTCCTGTCCTGCTCACTGCCCACTTTGGCATTACTGGGCTGTTCTCATGCCATCTTAGAGAATAGGAGACTGAGGCACAGAAGGGTCAAGAGGCTTGAGCAGGCATCTGCCGGCCTGACTCTCTTGGGGCCCGTTCTCTAGCCTTTGGTCCCTGAGCTGCTTTCCCTTTGCAGGCCCCGAGGGCCAGGCCCTGAGCCTGCCGCTCTTGCTGAGCTTCACCTGCCAGGTGGCCGAGGGCATGGGCTACCTGGAGGAGCAGCGTGTGGTCCACCGGGACCTGGCTGCCAGGAACGTGCTCGTGGGCAATGACCTCACTTGCAAGGTGGCCGACTTTGGCCTGGCCCGGCTGCTCAAGGTCAGTGGGGATCCTGGACTCCTGGGCCCACGGGCAGGGAGGGCACTTCTGCGCCTGCCCCACCACTGGCTTCCCTCACCCCCCAGGATGATATCTACTCCCCAAGCAGTGGCTTCAAGATCCCTGTCAAATGGACGGCACCTGAGGCCGCCAACTACCGTGTCTTCACCCAGAAGTCAGACATCTGGTCCTTTGGCATCTTGCTCTACGAGATCTTCACCTTCGGCCAGTGTCCCTATGAAGGTGTGCAGCCTACCCAAAGAGAGCCAAGGCCTCTTCTGGAAGAAGTGTGATCTGAGGGAGGAGGCTCCTCCGGCCCTGGGAGGGCTGAACCCCGGAGGGCACCTGGCTTCAGCCTGTGCTCTGAGGGATGGAGGGGCTGGTGGAGGGCAGGCTGCTAGGCTGGGCAAGGTCTCCACAGCGAACCCAGACAGAATCAAGGAAGCTCCCACTCCATATCCACCCCCTCCCCAGGAATGTCTAACCAGGAGACACTGCGGCGGATCAGCCGAGGATACCGGCTGCCGTGCCCAGCCGCCTGCCCAGCGGAGGTCTACACACTCATGTTGAGGTGCTGGAAGGACAGCCCTGAGGAGCGGCCCACTTTTGCCATGCTGTGGGAGAAGCTGGGCACCATGCACAGGCACCTCCACCTGGCCCTCTTGTGACCAGGGCTCTGGCCATGGGTGGTGGCCAGGGCCAGTGCTCTCTGCAGGGTGACCCCAGGTCAAGGCTGCACAGCTGGGAACCAAGCCAGCCACTCCAGCTGTGGGCCTCCTGTGCTGACATGGAGGGACCTGGACACCTGCAGACGGAGCTCAGCCACCCACACCCACCCAGATGGCAGAGTGTCCTTTGCCTGGTGTGGCCTGTGTGCTTGGTGTCTCCAGGACAGAGGAGGCACAGAGTAGAGCCTCAGAGACACTGGGTGGAGAGGCCGCAGCTGGCCTTGTGCGGGTCCTCCTTGACTCCCCCCCAGGGTGAAGGAGGGGAAGATTCCCCCACGTCCCACCGTGAGCTTAAGTGGCCAGTGCTGGGCCCCAGGCAGACCCAATGGCACATGTGTGCACATAGGCTGGCACGGTCTCCTGCCCCCTGTAGGCACTGGCAAACCTGGCACATGTGGCTACACCCAGTAAAGATGTTCTCATTGACTCAGACATGGGCATGGATGTGTTACACGCTGACCCCCAAGCCCAGAATCAGGCGCTGGAGCTGAAGGAGGTCCATCCTGCTAACAAAGGTGGAAGAGAGAGCGGAACCCCCAGGACACCCTGGTGCCCCAAATGAGCAGCCACAGAGTGAACTCTGTGGATGTTGGCAGGAACTGACAGGCTGTAGGTGTCAGTCACAGCCCTGCTCTGGGCTGGAGTAGGCTGGGCTTGAGGTGGGAAGTCTCAGGACCCAGGAGGACAGGCTGGGTTGCTGGTGGACAGCATGAGACTGTTTCTAGGGCAAGCGACCTGTACTTGAGGTCTGTTCCCAGGATGGGCAGTGGGTGGAGGCGGGGTGGGCGGGGTGGGGCAGGTGCTGTGTGTGTGCTAGCTGCCAGCCCACTCCAGGGAAGACCAAATCCCAGATGGGCATACTCTTGTCGGGGGTGGGATTCTTTGGGAACGAGGAGCTGGGCAGGGCCGTGTGGCTGGCCCTTGGTTACCCCACACCACAGGATACCAGGGGTGGCACACAGAGGCTGGGGGTTTCATCCAGGGTCTCCAAAGATCACCCTCTGTCCCTGGGAGCCCAGGTTTGCAGCTGTGCCCCTAAGGCTGTAGGGACAGAAAGACAGCTTCAGCTCACCATCTCCTAGGGGGACGGAGCTCAGGCTCAGCTCTGAGGCTGGTTTGCTCGTTATCACTGATCACAGGCCATGCCCATGTGCTGGCATAGAAGGGAGCTGGGAACAGGAACCCCTCTGTGCGAAGTGACCACCCCCTAGGCAAAGCAGTGGCTCCACAGGGCTGGCACAGTTGGCCTCCTGGAGGGAGGCAGAGTGGTCCCGGGGGACCAAGGGCAGGGCAGCACGTGCAGAGGAGGGCCCTGGAGGCTTGTCATTCTGGGGACGCAGCTGAGCCTGGCTGTGCTGGGTGGAAAGGGGAGATCCAGGTGCCTCGGAGGCCACATTGGGTTCCAGCCCTGTGGGTGGCGGCAGCAGCAGAGGGGTTTGGGCTGAGCTCTTTTGGGGCCCCCACTCCTGACCTCTGGGCCATACTTCTGCCTGGGCCTGCAGCTCCCCCCCCACCCCCCCACCCTCCCCAGGAGGGTGGGGCACTGGGCTGGAGAGGCCAGGCCCTGAGCCAAAGTCTCAGGCACCTCCCCAGCACATAGTCAGGGTGGCCTGGGCTCTGGGGTGGCTCAGCCTGTTTCTGGAGTTTGGGGACCTGGGCTGGCACCTGTTCTGGGACGGGAGGCCTCTGCAGGAGGCCATCCCACAGAGGCAGGTTTGTGTGTGGCCTGGGCACATTCCTGGGTGTCCTGTCAGCCATGGGTTGGGCAGGTTGACCCTTCTGGGTCCCCAGCAGGGACTGAGGATTCCTGCTTCCTGGTGAATCTTGGAATCACCCACACATTTGCCCAAGGACTCGCAGAGGCTTCCGGACACGCCTCAGGTCCCAGGCTTGAGGGCACTGGAGCAGGCAGGGGCAGAGGCCGGTGTGCAAAATCTGTGTTCCCCGGGCCAGCCGGACACCCAGCTGGCCTGACCCCTGGCCAGCCGGACACCCAGACACGCCTCCCCTTGACGTCCTTCCCCTCCTCGTCTGACCTCTGACTTCAGTCCTCTGCAGCCCCTTCCTCACCTTGGAGAAAAGTGGGCTGCCTGAGCTGTCCATGAACCAGCCAAATAATCCACATTCCTCCTCTTTGTCTCAGATGAAGTGGGGTGGAAGTGCCATTATTTCTCTTAAAAAAATATATGTCTAAAGGCTGAACTGTAGCTCAGAGCACTTGCCTGGCACAGGTGAGGTCCTGGCCTTGATCCTCAGCACCACCAAAAGGAAAAGTTCCAATCAGCTTAGCCCGGGATTCCCCTGGCCACTCCTCACAGACTTGGTGACTTCCTCTCCCCACTCCCTCCTGCCCCCTTCACAGCTGTCCTCCGAACCCCTTTTTGGGAGGTGCTGTCGGAGGAGTCAGGGCAGGGTCCGCAGGTTAGGAAGATGGTCTAGGTCGCCCTGGGGAAAGGGAGCAGGGGCAGAGTGTCAGTTTGACTGCGGGGCCGGGTGGGGGGCTGGGTAGTGGGAGGCTGAGGGGTCACAGGCAGGCTGCTAGGAAGGGGGAGGTGGGGCCAGGCAGGGTTGGAGGGGGGTGCAGGGAGGGAGGAGGGTTCCCTGGCAGTGAGGTGCTTCCAGGCCGCAGCCCATGGTCTTTGGACGCCCCCATGTGTCCTTGTCGGGAAGGGCACAGTGCCTGCTTGCTCAGCTGAGGGTCTAGGGTTGTACCCTCCTGGTCCCTTGGCCCTTCCTGTCCCCATCCCCTGTTGGTCTCCCAGCTGCCTGAGCCCTGGCCCAGCCTTCCTTCCCAGGGTGGCTCCGCAGGACGGACTCTCTGAGTGTCCTCACAGGGCGGGCCAGAGCTGCCGGCACCCCCACTGACTGTAAGGACACCCGGGCCCTGGCATGCTGCTCTTGGCCCACAAGCCTCACCCCTGGGCCCCTCCCCGCTGGCGGCCTCTTCCTTGAGTCCACCTCAGGCCCCTCTTGCTTCCTCCCAAGGGTGACCCAGACCGTGGGGGCTGCCCACGGAGGTGCCCCCTGCAGCTCCCTGCGTTAGTCTGTGGTGAAGAGGCAGCTGGCCACCTCCAGCGATCTGCCCACAGCCCTCACTGATGCCTTCTCTGGCCCCTTCCTACTGCCCCTGGGACCCAGGACTCACCCCCAAAGGTCCCTGGCTCTGCTGACACCTGCATGAGATGTCCTGGTCCATGGGTGGCTCCGCCTCTCTCCCATGTGGCTTCTGGGCCAGCAGGTGGGCGTGTGAGACGGGTGGGGCTCCAGGGTGGAGCCCGGGATAGGCCAGCCCCAGTGGGTGCGGTGTGGCTGGCCTGTCTGGTGATGAGGAAGTGAGTGGGGTTGGCCTGTCAGGGACAGCTTTCTGCCCTTCCCAGCTCACAGCCCTGACCTGCTACTGTGCCTGCTATGGTGTCCCGGGACCAGGTCCACCTAGGCCCCAAGTATGTGGGCCTCTGGGACTTTGAGGCACGGACAGATGAGGAGCTGAGCTTCCGGCAGGGGGACATCTTCCACGTGACCAGGAAGGAGGAGCAGTGGTGGTGGGCCACCCTGCTGGACTCTGCAGGTGCGGCCCTTGCTGAGGGCTATGTGCCCTGCAACTACCTGGCAGAGGAGGAGGCCGGGGAGTCCGAGCCGTGAGTGTCCCTGGGCTTCGAGGGCTTGTGGCAGGGCAGGCAGCTATGTGCAAGAGTGGGCAGGGGCACTGGGGGCCTGGGGCAACTGGGAGTGTGAAAGACCCTGGCTCTGTCCTTCCTGCATCCCATGATGGGCCGTGTGTCCAGATGGGCCCTGTCTCTGGACCCTCCTGTCCTGGCACTTGGGAGAGCTGGGGGGTGTGGCTCTGTGACATTTGGAGACCATGCTTCCCTAGGACACCCCACAGCCACTCTCTGGTCATGGGAACTGCTCTGCTGGACCTGGAGAGGAAAGAAGGGTCCAGGGTGGGCTTTTGGGGGACTGGTAACCAGTGGCAAAGTCTATGAGGGAGTCCAGGGCTCTGGGTGTGAAGTCTGCTCACTTTCCCGACAGCCGGAACCAGACATGCAGCCTAGTTATGGGAGCGGGAAAGCACCTCGGCACACCCATTGGCCTGCCAGGGCCAGGTGTGGGAATGCGTCTGTGAGGTGTCCCCTCCCAGCAGCCACCTGGCTGTCCCTGTTCCCACCACAGTTGGGTGCCCAGGAGGCTTTGATGGATGACAGGGCAGCTGAGGTGGGTAGGTCCACAGTACCTGAGGACCATGGCTTCTGGGGTGCACTGGGGGCCCCTCCCTGAGCAGGGCCAGGCCAGAAGTCTCCATTGGCAGGGCTGATGGGAACACATGGCAAACAGAGCCCCCAACTGGATCCACTCACCTTGGGAAATCACCTTAAAGGCCACTTGGACCTGGTCTTTCCAGCGCCCTTCAAAGACCTCCCTAACAGGACGGGTCCCTGCTGCCTGTGTTTCTGAGAGCCCAACTCTCCTCAGCACCCACATTGAGCACCTACTGCATGCAGAAGATTGGGAGTATGCATAGGGAGATGCAAAGCAGTGCATCGAGCTGCAAGTGGGTCATCTCAGAGGCAGAGGGTGTGAGACGTGAAGGGTTGTAGGGTCCAGGTGGCCAGCACACAGGTTCAGTAGCCCTTAGGCCCAGGACCCAGCATGCATGAGGTGTGCAGAAGAGGCAGGGTGGGCAGAGGGTAAGCACTGAGGAGATAAAGTTTCATAGCAAATGAGGGGTCGACCCCTCGGGGCTCTGGGCCAAGGGTATCCTCAGGGTGGGCCATGGCTCTTGAGGGAGTCAGTGTCGCCCAGGGAAGGGCAGAGGTCACCTGGGAACTCTGAGGGCCCCACCCTGCAGTCCACAGTCCAGGGCTTGTCCATGCCCTCATGCTGAGAACCAGTATGTGCTGTGGGAGGGTGCATGTGAGCAAAGCTACAGCCGTGTCAGTGTGTCTGCTTGTGTGTGCTTACGTGTGCGTGAATGTGCAAGTGCATCTGTGTACACGTGAGCTGAGCACACACACTGTCGCATGTGTGCGTGCCCTGGTGCACTGTGAGCACACTGTGGTCACATGTGCACATGTGTGAGTGCAATGTAAATGTGTGTGGTGCTTCAGTGTACTTGTGCCCATGAGTGTGCGTGCTCAAGTGCTGTGTGCCTGGGAGCCCTGCTGCTCAGCTGAATTCCTAAGGCTGGGGCTGTGCCTCTGTGCCCTAGTCCTGCAGTAGAAGGACCACAAGCCTACTGGGGGTTCTGACCACAGACAGGGCCTTGGGACAGGATGGGAAGTGCCTACCCTTCTCCTGCCTGGGTCATTGGTATCCAGAACCAGCTACTGGGGACTGCATGGGTAGAGGCCTCTGCAGGGTCCAGGCAGCATGGGAGGGCAGCTTGTTCAGGGCTGGGATACGGGGTGGGTGGGGTTGGGTCAGCTGAGACACAGGCTGTCTCCTCCCCTGCAGGTGGTTCTTTGGCCAAATCTCCCGCTCAGAGGCCGTGCACCAGCTACAGGCGGAGGGCAACCCCACTGGTGCCTTCCTGATCCGGGTCAGCGGGAAGCTGGGAGCAGACTACGTTCTCTCTGGTACAGCCTTCTTAGCCCTCCATTCGCCTGTGCCTGCTTGCCAGGGCTCCTTGGCTCTAGGCCCTCCTGGCCATACACACCCAGCTGCCCTTGAACTTCGAGGTGTGGGATATCTGGTGCTCACCCAGGCAGCTCCGAGCCTCTCCACCTGCCTCCTTCGGGGCAGAAGCCAGAGTGACTCTCACTGATGGGAGAAAGCTCTCTTGAGGGCCTTTCCTGCTGGCCTTGCCTGTGGCCGTCCACTGTTGGGAGCATCGACCCACAGGTGTCTGGCTCTGCAGGGGTGTGTGGGGAGATTAGTCTCCGCTGGCTCTGGAATCTTAGTGGGGCTGGGAGTGTGGGCAGCCATCATCCAGGCAGAGTTGGGAGGTCATCCTGGGGCAGGGCCCAGCAGGGCCCAAGGAGGGTGAGTGCTGTCCAGCAGTGACCATTAGACCCTAGGCCCTTGGAGCAGGTGGGGTGGGGAGCACGCAGGGTGGGGACGGGCTGATGGCTTCCTCTGTCCTGCCACCCAGTGCGGGATGCTCAGGTCGTGCGGCACTACAGGATCTGGCGGCGCTCTGGCCGGCTACACTTGAACGAGGTAGTGTCCTTTCTCAGTCTGCCTGAGCTCCTGGACTACCACAAGGCCCAGAGCCTGTCCCATGGCCTGCGGCTGACCGTGCCCTGCTGTAAGGTAGGCCCCTGTACTTCCATGGTGTGGTTGCTCAGGGCCAGGCAAGGTACAGTGCAGAGCACGGGTAGAGAGGGGCCAGGAGATGCCCCCCTCTCCTGGTCACTTTTATAACCTGACCCACCAGAGGTCAGCTGAGCTCCTGCTGGGTCCTGGCTCTGGGAAGCCAGGAAAGAAGGGTCACCCTGGCCACTGGCCTCAGGAGAGTCACTGGTGGGGGCAGGAGAGAGACATGTGCATGGGCCACTCAGACTCCTGAGCTGCCCCAAGGTTAAGGATAGACCAAGGCTCTTCCTGAGTGCAAGCCAGTGGCAGGGCCAGTGTCCCCTCCCTTCCTGTGCCTCCTGCCTGTCCCTCCAGCATGAGTCGGAGCCCCTGCCCCACTGGGCCAACTGGGAGAGGCCACGGGAGGAGTTCACGCTCTGCCGGAAGCTGGGCGCTGGCTATTTTGGGGAGGTCTTTGAAGGGCTCTGGAAAGACCAGGTCCGAGTGGCCATCAAGGTGATTTCCCGAGGTGAGTGGATCCAGCTGGGGGTACCTGCAGCATGCCCGAGGGGTGCCACCTGTGTCCTCACCTGAACACCCTGATCACAAGACAGAGGGCTGAATTCTCCAGGTAATGGAGAGCCACTCAAATGCATGACTGAAAATCTGAAAAGGTCCACCTGAAATCTGCCACAGTCCCTTTGGACCCCACCCTGAGGAATCAGGGCCTGACACAGGAGGACCTGGGAGTGTCCAGCTCTGAGGCTCTGGCTCAGGCAGGGAGGGACGGAAGCAGATGAGGCCCTCAAGGCCTGGGGTGCTCGGGGCCTGACTGTGGAAGTCGGCGTTTCCTGAGCGACCCTGTGGGGGCTGGGCCTCTTGCTGGGCGCCTCTATGAGGGATGTGCCCACCAAGGCTGTGCGTCCCCAGACAACCTCCTGCACCAGAACACCTTCCAGCGGGAGATCCAGGCCATGAAGCAGCTGCGGCACAGGCACATCCTGGCGCTGTACGCCGTGGCGTCCCTAGGGGACCCCGTCTACATCATCACGGAGCTCATGCCCAAGGGGAGCCTGCTGCAGCTGCTGCGGGGTGAGTGGGCAGGATCCTGGGCCCTCTCTTCCCTGCATGAGAGTGACACGGGCTTGCTGGAGGCCCTGGGCAGCAGGTGAGAAGCGACCCCAGCCAGACACCCAGGGAGCTCTAAGACACACATCATTGTTTTCTGGTTTAAGAAATGACCCAAGAGTGGCTATGGCTCAGAGGTAGAGCACTTGCCTAGCCCGTGCGAGGCCCTGGGTTTGATCCTCAGCACCACATAAAATAAACAAATTAAAGATATGTGTCCACCTATAAGTAAAAATTAAATATTAAAAAGAGAAATAACCCAAGACACAACAAATCTACCATTGTGCTCCTTGTGAAAGTTTCACTAAGTACAGACAAGAAAAGCTGTGTCAACCGAGGCCATTTCACAGAACATCTGGCACAGCTGGCAGCCCTCACAGAGACCTGCTTCAGTCCCCAGCTCGTCTCTCCTCCTGGACTGTGGTCCCTCCTGCTGGTGTTTCAATGTGCACAGGCACTAATGTGCCCCCCATGTACGCATGTGTGCACACCGACCCTGCATTCTTACACACATGCACATGTACATGCATGGACATGCCCACACGCTTACACGCGTGCACACCCACAGCCAATGCATCATACACGTGTATACAAGAGGACGTGCCCACACAGGGACACGTGCCCACACAGGGACACGCATCTTGCTATCCCAGGTCGTTGTCAAAAGCTCCTGTTTCCTTCAACACAAAAGCCAAGCCAAATGCTGGCCACTAAGATGGCCTAGCTGGACAATGAGATGGGAGGAGACTCCCCAGGGTAGGGTGCCACCCAGCCGTGTGCACCTGGGGTGGATATGTCTAAACACCACAACTCTGAGACACTAGGCCCACATTCTCAGGCAGGAAGTGATCACTGCAGGTGGTCTCCGTGGGATCCAGTGTTCTTCAGAAACAGTCTGGAGTGTGGGGAGCCCTGCTCCTCCATCTGGAGCAGCTGAGGCAGAGCCGAGCTGCCATGGTCTCCGCCTCTGGAAAGGCTGCCCACAGCTACACTGTCAACCAGGCCAGCTGTCCTTGGCTCCAGCTGAGGAACAGCAGCTGCAGAGCCTCACAGCTAGCAGGTGAGGACTGACCTTGGCCTCCTGTTGCCCCACAGACTCTGATAAGCAAGCCCTGCCCATCTCGGAGCTGGTGGACCTTGCATCGCAGGTGGCAGAGGGCATGTGCTACTTGGAGTCACAGAACTATGTTCATCGGGACCTGGCTGCCAGGAACATCCTCGTGGGGGAGAACAATATCTGCAAAGTGGGGGATTTTGGGCTGGCCAGGCTCATCAAGGTAGGGCCCTCAGTGGGCAAGGCCCAGGGTAGGGACCCCCTTTCCCATGGGAACCCAGAATGGGCAAGACGAGTTGGTTACCAATGCTGTGACCACAACTGGCAGGGGTTCTGTCCACACAGCATGGCCTTAAATCAGAGCTTCTCACACTCGGGGTCTGAGCCCTCTGGTCTAGCAGCAGTGGCCACCAGTGGCTCAGACAGTGGTCAACACAGTGTGCTGTTGACTTGCCCACCCAGACCTCAGCTCCTACGCCTGTGTGCTGTGGGGAGACGGTGCAGGCAGTCCTCCATGGCCCACCCTACCCTGTCTGATTGCAGGAGGACATCTACCTCTCCCATGACCACAGCATCCCCTACAAGTGGACAGCCCCTGAGGCACTCTCCCTAGGGTATTATTCCATCAGATCTGATGTCTGGTCCTTCGGGGTCCTCCTCCACGAGATCTTCAGCAGGGGTCAGACACCTTACCCAGGTACTGGCCCCAGTGTTCCTGACTGGGCTGACCCTGAGTGGCCAGCGGGGGTGGCGGGAGGTGCTTCCTCGACAGCCTCACCTGGAACACCACACCTGTACACTGGCTGAGCATCCAGGAATGTCCATCCCTGTGCCTGGGGCCACTTCCTGGAGTCACTGTCCAGGGGGAGGTCCTTAGAGGCAGACTATGCTGGAAAACGTCCAGGACACAGTGGTGGTCATGCTTCAGAGAAGGCTTCTGGGGAGGGGCGGCAGGCCACGGGTGTGGCTTCCAGGTGGTGGAGGGTAGGCACTGGCCTCATGGTTCTTCAGCTCCTCTTGTCCCACTGGCAACAGGCATGTCCAACCACGAAGCCTTCCTGAGGGTGGACGCTGGCTACCGCATGCCTTGCCCCCTGGAGTGCCCACCTCCCGTGTACGGGCTGATGTGCTCCTGCTGGAGCAGGGACCCAGAGCAGAGGCCTTGCTTCCAAGCCCTGTGGGAGAGACTCTCTGGCTTCACCAGGTACGAGAACCCACTCTGAGCTGCCTTGGGGGCTGCCTGGCCAGGTCCTGGCTGTCCTGAACCTCAGGAGAAGTGTGATCCTTTAGCTTACTGACCTGATGGTGGGCACAGCAAACAGCATGAGGGGACCTGAGGAAGCAGCAGAGCAGCTACATGACTCTGACAAGCAGCAGGCTGCAGGCCTGGCCCAATGCCCTCACTGGCCATCTCCCCAGCCGCCAGCCTCCAACGTGGTCCTCTGGCCACAGATGAGCATACCCAAGACCTCTCAAGAAAAGCATCCTTTTGCCTTTGAAAGTTTTCTATGCCATCTCCTCTACAATCTTAGTCGTCGTCCTAAACAGACTTCAGGGAAGTAACCATGGACACAAGAAAACTGAGATGAAGTCTAAGAATAGTCTTTTTCTCCAGAAAAGCAGCACAGAGCTTTATCCAGTCTGGGCAATCGGAACCTCTCATTTTTGACAAAAACACAATTTGGTTAAAAATACGGGTGGAGAAAACCCACCATGTTTGTCTCTGGGTCACTGATGGTCTGAAGGGAGAGCCTGGTGCGGCCTCCCAGATATGAGTGGCACTGCCCCTCTAAGGGCGTCCCCACGCTGGTCTATAAAACCCCTGGGGGGGAGTTCTACCCAGATTGCTTGGAGAAAGTGAGTGTTCATATAAGTATCCCCAAACTCAGAAACACAGCAATGATTCTCTTTTTTGTACCAAGGATGGAAGCCGGGGGTGCTTAACCACTGAACCACATCCCCTGCTTTTCTATTTCTTTCGTTAAGTTGCTTAGGGCCTCACTAAGTTGCTGAGTGAGGCTGAGGCTGGCTTTGAAGTCGTGATCCTCCTGTCTCCACTCAGTGGTCAAGTGTCCCTCGGTTCAATCCCCAGTATCCCCCAAAAACAAAGCAACAACAAAAACCCACCGGTCACCCTATACCCAACACCTGGGTGGCTCCCCTGCAGAACACCGGTGACAGGGAGACGCATGCGCTGGAGCTCCCACTTGGTGTTGGGGCCTCAAGAGACGTGGAGCACTTGAGTGCAAGGGGTCTGTCTGCAGGTGCAGCAGCTGTACTGAGGACTACGTGACGTGCTGGGAACTGGCGTCCCTCCAGTGGAGGCTGGCGGGTGTGGTTCAGTAACTTCCTGTTTTCCCTGAGAATCTAGGGTTTCTGAGTTTGAAATCATGGTTTATAGTGGTTGAAACCATTAGAAATAACAAGGAAACAAGACAAGTATGATGCTCTTTGATTGGCTGAGAGAGGTAGCGATCAGCCTGTCCTAAAGCAGAGGGACTGGCTGTCACAGGGGCATGCATGGAAACAGACCCTCCCCTCCTGTAACCAAAGCTCACTAAGTCAGCCTCAGGGGTGACTGCACAGAGGTGCACTGGAGCTGGCTCTGTGAAAGGCCCTTTGTTATGCCTTGGTGACTGGCCAGGAGACAGGACTTTGCTTAAACACAGCTTCTTGGGCTTCACTGTTTTTTACTAGGTCTTCGATTACTGAAAAGCATCTTCTCATGATCAAGAGGGCCAAGTATGTAAACTTCTAAGTTTGTCTTTAAAAAATCTTTTGTCAATTTGATTAAATCAATTATCAAACCTTTTGGCATGACTGACAACATCTAAAACCAAAGTTTAAATTAAGTCCCTTTGATCTTGAACTTTGACCTTGAGTTTCCAGAATGCCCCCTGGACATAGCCAGAAGTGGAGGTGGTGTACACCAGCAACCCAGGAGGCTGAGACAGGAGGACTGCAAGTTCAGGGGTACCCTCAGCAACACAGTGAGGCCCTCACTCTGAATAAAATATAAAAAAAGGGCTGGAGATGTTGCTCAGTGGTTAAGCGTCCTCCACCCCGGGTTCAATTCCTGGTACCAAAAAATAAATAAATAAAAATAAAAAGGGCTGGGGATGTGGCTCCGTGGTGGAATGCCCTGGGTTCAACCCCCAGTGTACAGAGGGGTGAGAAAGTCATCTCAGCTTACACAGGAGAAATTAGGTTCATCAGGCTCATTTGTGCTCTCCAACACAGCCAACCCTTCCCCGGGCTGCATTTACGTAGTCTGTGCTGCAGTTGGTGCTGATGAGGGCTGCAGAAACCTGCTGTCATGTCAGCACGTTGTTGCCATAGAAATAACCACATTTCCTTGTCAACTGCATAACTGATGTAATCAACTCATCAGATCTTTAATCATGGCTTTCTTAAGTTCCTTCACATTCACCGACATCATAAGGAAAGCATTTGCAATCAGCTACGGTGCAAATACTTCTCCTTCAAGGTCCCACGGAGACTGACAGGTGCTCTAGTACAATCTTCTGGCAGTGTCAGGGGGACAAAGGACCCTGGAGAGAACTGAGGGCTCAAGGCTGCCCCACGACGAACCCACAAGGATCACCAACCCAGAACAGAATCAACTGGCGACCATTTTTTTTTTTTAAACTATTTTAACATTGCTAGTCCCTTACTATAGTTTTCCTGATTTGAGGACCCCGCCTGCAGCAACTTGGGAAACACTTGTGAACAAAGGCAAAATATTTGTGCTTTTTCCCCTGATCCTTCTAGAAGTCACAAAGTATTAGCAAGCATCCCTGCTTTCAGGGCAACATAGCCATCTGTGTGCCAAGGCCCTGCTTTCCCTGGGACAGACACAAATGTGGATGCTGGCTGTTGCCAAACTTGGGCTGTGGTGTCCTGTTTCCAGCTGCAACTAGACACATGGACCTCATGGTCCTTGGGAAGAACTGGCATGGGACCTTGGAGACATAACGGCCTCAGAGTGAAAAAGGATGTTGCTTCCTGCAGGCCTAGAAACTCAGAGATGCATTAGGGAGACTGGTAAGAGGACCCACCCCACCCGACCCCTGCCACACCCAGGCCACAGGGGCAGGCCCAGGGCTTGGCTTCCTAAAGCAGCAGCATCATGTCCCTGTGTTCTTTTGATCCTGTTATCTGACTGCATCCTGAATACTTGTCTCCAGTATATGGCTACCTCTCCCCACACCAGCATTTCCAAATTCCAAGATTATAGCTTAGAATCACTAAACATTAAATCTGTCCCTTTCCTGAAGCTCTAGAAACTGTAGCTGGATGACTTGGTAGGGACTTAAATCATGACTCATGTGTGGAACACCTTGGTGACACCCCAGTAGCAGACCAGAAAGCCGGCCAGGTGCCACCTCAAGATGCTGCAGGCCCAAGGAGTAGAATCTCTGGGCTCGACAGGCCTTTGAGCTACTCTTACCACAGCCTCTTCCTTGATCCCTGACCCCATGGGGCACGCACAGAGCCCAGCTGTGGGGAAGCCAGCACCTCCGAGAGGGGACAGACTGTGTGCTCCCACTGGATAATGCTCCCTGCTCTAAACTGTTAGATCTTTGGCTCTTCCCAGGAAGTTCCCACATGGGACTTATGCAGCTTGGAGAAAACTGAGAGGACAGTGGCAGCAGGAGGCCACAGATCCAGGGGCATCACTCTCTGGCTTTCTCTCCCAAGGTTCTCACAGGGTGGGCGTCTTGTCCTATACTGAGTTGGAGCTCAGAGCTTCGGTCCTGAGCACCTAGGATTTCAGATCACGGACACTTGGCCAGTGGTCTTGCAGACATCTCAATCCAAAAAAATGAGTTTGAAATCAAAAGCATTTCAGGTTAAGCTTTTCGGGATGATAACACCCAGATTACTGTTTTGGGTCTTCCTTCTTAAGGATTCCGTATCACATAAGACTTGAACTGTACGACTCTGTATGCTTTTCTCTCGTTAACCTGTCCACTGTTACAGTGTCTCAAGAGATGAAACTTGGGGAGGGTTTCTACAGCTGCCTCTGAGGGCCTTGTCCAGATGCTGTGGCTAGAAGGACTTAGTGGGGCCCAGGCTACTCCTTGGAATACTCCCTCTCCTGGGTCCATCTGAGGGGGAAGGAGCCCCCACCTGCTCCAGCACTAGCCGCCTGGCCTGGGAGTCTGAATGAAGCTGCATCCACACTACAGGAGCCTGGACTCCTACGGGGAGGCAGGAGGGAGGCTCAGCTATCAGGGACCAGAGGCCACTGAACTTCCATGGACTCTTGTAGTGATTTATAGCACAGGGGACAGGAGGGCCTGCTGAGTCCATCCACAGCTCTGTTCCCTACCTGTGGGGGCTCCCTGACCTCTGCTGGCCTTAAGTTACCCTGCCTAGCTCTTCTGCCCACCAGCTACACTGAGGCTACCTGTGGAGCCTCTCCACCCCACCCCTCATGCCTGCAGCCCCCAGTCTCAGCCAGTCCTGAGCATTGTCAAGGTTGGGGACAACACCTCTGCAAAAAGCAACTGAGAAGGCCAGCCTCAGTCCTAACTACCCCACCACCCTCCCTGGCATTAAGGGATGGCCTTGTCAAACTCTTCCCAAAGGAGTTCTTCATGGGACATCGAGTTTCTCTAGCAGAGGGGTCACACAGCCAGGACCCCAACCTCCCACAGTGGCCACAGCAACTGCCCTGAGTTGTCCTTGTCCAGCTCCAGAACTGCCTGCCATTCTGAAGCAAGGCACCCCATCTGCTTGGGCCCACTTGTATGGGACATCTCATCAGACCTGAGATGGGGCCTCACGGTGAGGTCCCTGAGAAAGGCCCCCAGGAAGATCTGGTAAACAGGACCAGCCTCTAACAGAGGGACCAGGAGAGACTAAGAAACCTCTCAGACACACCACTGGGGCTGCCCGCTCTTTGGAGTTTATTTTCTGCTTGAGCAAGGCACAGTTATGTGGGTCAGAAAAGCCCACTGTGATTTGGAAAGAAGGGGTCTCTTGCCTGGCGCCTGCCATCTCCATGTGGAAGAACCCAGCTGGTCTCTGCTTGCTGTAGCCCATCTACCCTACCCGCTGGAGTGGGCAGGATTTGACCTAGCACCTTGGAAGCCCCAATCAGGTCAGGACTGAGACCCAGTGCTGGCCTGACTCGGCTGGTTGACTGGCTGCTGCTTCGTGGTTTCTGGAGCCAGGCCGCTGGTGACCATGCTGGTGGAGGCCTGGGTGGATTCCGAGCTGGGGGAGAGCAGGTATTGTGTCAGAAGCTGACTTTGTTTTTGCTGCCCTCCCACCCCAGGAAGGGAGACTCACTGCTCTGGAGACTCCACCACTGTGGCCATGAACGGAAGAGTGGACTTCCCGAAGAAGAAGCTGGCCCACCAGTGACCTGGGTCGGCCTTGGGGAGACCTGAGAGAAGCAGAGTGGGTGATGAGCCTGCTCTGGACTGGACCCCTCCCCATGCTCCGCCTGGCTGTGCAGGCTGGACCTGCTCTCACCCGGGTGGTGGGGGATGGCCTCCCCAGGGTACTCGGCACTTCCGCAGGAGCTGTTGCTGGACGCGGAGCCCAGGCGGCCTGGGGAGGGGAGGACAGTCAGCAACAGGGGCTTCGCCGGCAGCAAGGGGCAGTGCTGGGCTCCGTCGGCAGGGGTCGGCAAGGGGCTACTTACGCCGGTAGTAGTCGTGGGTGGCCACGAGCGAGCCGCTGGAGGGGATGGCTGCCATGCTTCGCCTGTGGGCTGGTGGAGACCTGCATGGGGCGCGGCCCTGGTCACGGCTCCCAGGAGCGCTCGCTCGCAGGGCCGTCCTCCACCCGCGCCCAGCGGGGCTTCCGGGCGGCTCCAACCAGTCCCGGCCGGTGCGAGGCCGAACAAAGGCGCCTTGTGCACCGCCCAGCTCGCCCTGGCCCAGCACCCGCCCGCCCTCCGCCCACGCGCCCGTACCTCGGAGGCGACCCCTCGCAGCCCCCGGTGCCCGGTCACCGGTGGCGGGGCCTAGGCGCTAGGCCGCGGAGCCCATCAGTAACAGAGGCCGTAGGACGCCGCTCCTCCGTCCAGTCCCGGGCGCGAGGTACGCACGCGCGGAGCGCTACGGGGCGGGGACTGGTTTGGGCCCCGCCTCCCAAGGCCCCGCCCTCTAATGTTAACCCCTTCCCGCCCGCTGCGAGGCCCGATCAGCCCCACCCCGTTAGGCTCCGCCCCGAGACCCCACCCAGCCTGTTTGGCTCCGCCCCGGGCTCGCCTGCTTTAGCTGGACTCCAGTCTGCCTGAGGCCGTCGGGGGCGCGTCCCGGCCTGGCCTGGGACTGGAGTGGTTATAGGATAGGCCCTGCCCCAGTACTAGGACTGGTCTCTGTCCCCACTGTCGCCAGCGAAAGAGAGGGCATTTGCCCATGCATGTCCCTGATGCTGCATCTCTCTCCCCAGGTGTGCCCACTGCGTGGTGCCCAAAGGTGCTTCAAGTCCTCCAGCTCCATCCTTCTGGGGCCGCCTGTGTGCAGCTGGGGAGCCTGCTGTGTCCCTCACTGCTTTAGAGCCTGCGGCCCAACCCGTTCCCCAGACCCCGTCTGCATCCAGCTGCCCATGGGGCCGGGTGGCAGTAGGGCAGTGGGGCAGTGGGGCAGTGGGGCAGCAGGGTAGGAAGTGGAGGGCACGGAGGGGAGGTCATTCCTGTGCCTGAGGCCTTCATGCTTGGAGAGGACCAAGAGCCAGTTGGAGCCCCTGGGGGCTCGAGAGGCCTGTCTTGAGAGGTCTGTCTTGAGAGGCCTGTCGGGGACTTGACAACACAAGCCCTCAGAGAAATCCTTATTTTGTTGGCATACAGT